CTATAAATATTATTGATATTTTGACATATCCTTCCAGGTCTTTATGAACATATATATGTTCTGAAAAATAAAAATGTGATATTTCACAAATTATTTTAAATAACTTTGCTTACATTCTATTCTGAATATCTTCTATAACAAAAAATCATCATTTTTAATAACGGTATACTATTCCATATATAGATTCATGTATCCAAGAACCCAATAATTCTCTTAAATTCTTAAAAAAATATACTCACAGCTTTTAACTCCATATTACCACCCATGTGAAATTCAATGGTTTTTCCCATAATGAATACTCCTTCATTTCCACGCACAATAGCACGCCCATCAACTTTTATATTTAAATCACTGGTAGCATTGCTGGTAATCTAAGAATGAAACAAACAAAATAAAGTACTGAAGAGTTTCCAAATTAATATCAGAATTATTATCATAGAGAAATGGCATTTCAAATATGAGACATGAAAGGAAATTTTTTAGATGTGGGAACTGATACAAAGAAAGGATTTGATAATGCTCAGACAAGCAAGGTAATAAAAGATCTAAAATAATTTCCAACATTCTGCAATATTCTTTCGTACCACCGTGAAGTAGTAAGATTGTCCTCCTGCTTTGCAACTTTAGACAATAATTTTCTCCTAGGAGTAAAGCAAAGAAAATAAATCATACCCTTTCAGTAGATGCTTTTTGAACATTCAAGCTTTTCACTCCACTTGGCAAATGAAACTCATGAGTTTCATAGTCTGTACTGAATAAGACATTTTGAGTCCTTGGGTCGAAAAACTGCATACCAATGTCACTCGTAATAGAAGTTTTGTTCTTTTCTATACTGAGTTTTGTTGTCCCTTGCTGAAAAACAATCTTCAGGAAAAACATTTTATTGTGAATATTTTCAAAGAATGCTGCAACCAAAATTAATGAAGAATAAACAAAAGCAAATGCTATTTTTAAAAACTACAATAACAGACTAACTTCAAATACTTTTCACTGCATCCATCCCCACCCTACTTCATACACAAATACAGGGGTCATAGTGAATATGGCCAGAGATGGAGGTAAGAATACCTTCTGGAAGTTTTACTCAGTTAACAGCCTGTATCATAGCTGCCACCTGGCATGGTCTGCTACTGACCAGAGTAGCATATCCTCTTCCAGAGTCCCAGGAAATACAAGACATTCTAACCTGGGAATGTGCTTTGATTATAGCATCCTCACAGGGAGGAGAAAAGAATAACTTATGCATTCTTGTACTGATCACATCTGACAATGCTACCATTGAACAAACTGTAGAATATTAAGAAACTATCTCACTTTATAGATTATAAAATCAATCATTATTAGATATAGATTATGAAAAATACATTCATGAATCTATAATAGTATTTTTATTTTCTGTAAAGGAAGACATGTATATCCAGTAATCAACTCTAGGTTTTTTGTAAAGAATTGTTCTCTGCTGCTTTTCTTCATGTTCATACCACATTTAACACGGTAATGTGGGAACTTACAGGCTGGTTGTTGCCAGTGATGACCAAGTTTTCATTTCGCCTTCCTCCTACTGTGCTCTTATAAAGAGGATGAATAACTCCCATGTCAGACACTTGCTTAAATCGAAGCAGACCACTTTCATGAAACTCCATGCTGTCACAGCCATTTGGTCCAATTCGAATCACAGCCCAGATAATAAGAGTTATCTGAAAAAGAGTGCAAGCCCTCCATTAATAAACTGCATACACCTGACTCACCTGGAAGACAGAGAAGATCACTGCCAAAGCATCAAAGACTTCCTGAAATATTCAGTCAGTAAGATGAACATATCAAGTGGTTTTCTGCTTAAAAACAAACCAACTTTATTTTTATGACAGGATTACATGCAAATTGCCATGGAGTTAAAATATGCTAAAAGGTCTAGAATAAAAAAAGAACAGTTCTTATTTTGTTTATCTTCTCTATAATTCATTCCCTAGGATAACCATTTTCAACCATTTTAACTATTTCACATAGCATTTACTCATATTTCTAAGTAATATATGTATACTGTTATTTCTTCATTTATCTATTTTAGGTTTTATCTACATCTTATTTTAGCATATGAGAATGTTAGCTTACTTATATCTTTTTTCTCCCAACTCTAATTCCAAGTTTTAAGTTAAAGTCATGTTCAGTACCTTCTGTATTATGGCCATATAAATGCTGTTCACTACTAACCCAGATACTACACTATGATAGCAGCTTCTTGTACTTTGTGTCTATTTGTTTAATTTCTTTGAAAAATCTAATTCTTTAATCCTGTAACATTTCCACAAATTTTTCCATAAAAAGGTTTCTAAATTTAATTCAGATAATAAAGATAATTAGTCCAAGTATTAGTTCTATTTTTCTCTCTCAGAAAATCTCTCTGGAACCCATCTTCCTGCTCCAGTCTGGACTGGCTGATGTCTGGCATCCAGCACAGCCCTAACTGTGAAGCTTTTCTTCACTTTCAGGCTGTAACTTCGGACTTTCTCTTGCATGAGATATCCAGTTTCCTTGTCTTCCATTTTCCAAATGTCTTTATAATACCTCACATTTGATTGATACTCTGGCTAGGTATTTTACTGATTTGAAATTACCTTCTTTCTAAATGTTAAAAGCCACTGTACTTTGCATTCGAGGCTCCAATGCCACTTTTCAGAAGTCTAATGCCACCCTGACTTTGTGTTCTTTATATACAACCTGTTGCTTCCTGCTCTGGAAAATGTTAGTATCTTTTTTACTCATGGTGTTTGTAAATTTCACAGTAGTGGCTGGATGTGAGTCTTTTTTTTTTTTTTTTTTTTTTTTTTTAATTAATTATACTGGACCCAGAATGGTAGTTTTCCACTTAATTTTAGAAACATTTCTTAATTCATTTGATAATATTCTCTCTAGTGTTTCTCCTGGACTGGATTTTCAATTTTCTTGAACATTGTGGAAGGGCTTCTTTTTTTAATTTCTTTTTTTGTTTTTTGTTTTTTTTTTTTGTTTTTTGGTACCAGGGATCAAACTTGGGACCTCATGTTTGTGAGGCAGGCGGCAGCACCAAGCTAAATTCCCAGCCCTCTTTATTTATTTATTTTTTTGGTACCAGGGATCGAACTTGTCTCTTTATTTCTTAATAACTAACCAACCAACCACTCATTTATTTGTATGTATGTATTTCTGAGTTCTTTCTTATTCTTTAATTGCTCCTTTTAAATGACCTGTTATTTCAATTCTTGGAGTTTTCCTTAAAAAAAAAAATCTAGTAATTCCTGGCTCACTGTTCACATTTAACAGGATTCTATAAAATGTCCACAGGAAATTCTCTATTTAGAGTGGGGCTTATAACAATAGGGACGGTTCATGGACCTACCAAATGTCACTGACATCACATCATTTATCTAGGTGTTTCAGTTCTCTAGCGAGGGCGCTTCTCACCTAATGCCAGCAAGTGGGGGGTGGAGGATGAAGGTAAGAGAGTATGGGAAATGGAGTCTCAGTACTCAGCATTCAAACAGTCCTGCGTTTAGGATGGAAACCCACAGAAGCCTCTGTGGATAATGATGTCAGGCAGCAATAACCTGTCTGTTCCAGAATGTCCAGATACACACTACTTTTGGATGGGGGAGGAAGGGTAGCTGTCTAATCGTTCACTGGAAGAGCGGGTAAGCCTGGGGCATCTCACTACTAGGAAATTTGTCAAACAAATTCTGTTTCAGCTCCAACTTTTCAAGGTATAGTGCTTATACTTCTAACTCTTGAGGCTTTCAGGGTTGTGCAAAGCACTCTACAAACCTGCCACCTTGTCCCCAAACACAAGCAGCCTCTCCTCTGTTATCTGATGTTCCTTCTACTACTTTTTGTCTTCATCTATTGTGGTTTAGGACTTCAGTTATCTTTCATTTTCCTTAAAGATATTTCTGTTTGTTAACATTGTTACTTTGAAATGAGTTTTTTTGATAAGCTAGAAATGTCTTTAATCTGCCATCTTAACCTGGAGTCTCCAATGAAACCAAAATATAAGATAAAATAAATTCAGAAAATGTGCTTAATAATTAGTAGAGCTATGTATGGTCCCTACTATAAAATGGATAGTGCCAGATCTTGCTGACTTCATTGAATAACTAGATCCAAATGTTTTGATATACATAAAATATAGACTGTCTTACGAACATGAGAAGTAAAAACAACATAAATGGAATCACTTTTGAGCTGCTACAGATTAGATTTATGAGCAGTCTTATGTACACCAGTAATCAGTCTCTGAAAACATGAATCTACACACACAGCAGAGGGTTTCAAAATTAACCTCCAGAGAGTAATAATCTCAATATTAAAAGATTTTTTATTTAAAAAGAGTAAAAATCCTTGGAAAAAGGCAACGTCTACTAGATGCTTTCATTCTTGACAGTGGGGACTAAGGATTACAAAATAACAGACTGCGACTGCCATCAAAATTCTCTAGATTTAGGAGCCAGGGATTTGGCTTCGTGGTTCTACTGCCTGTCTCACAAACAAGGTCCCAAGTTCGATCCCTGGAACCACCAAAAAAAAAAAAAAAAAAAAAAACAAAAAAAAAAAAAAAGCCCTCTAGATTTAAAACCTAGGTGAAGGGCAACACCAAATACAGGAACAGCTGAATGAAAAAAAAAAAGGTTATTTTTTTTAGAAGAGATGAAGGCAAGAAAATCATGGCAAAGTCGTCCTCTAGTGAGTTGTCTCTGCCTTTATTAAAAGTTAAGTGCATCAACAAAACATCAGTCATTTTTTTCTAAATGAGATTAATATAATATATGAAAGTATTAGCCTACTAGTTTTTTATACATGAACGTGCATAGAAAAGCAGAAAATAAGACAGTCCCAAAAGAAATTAGAGAAACAAAATCCATATCATTATAAAAAAGATGAAAATTTCTCCCCTGGTAATTAAAAAGAGAATATTTGCACCATATACTCACAATTAAATTGATGACAGCCAAGATAAACAAGAGGATAATCACGCAGATGGCTAAGTTGCCCTTTCTCCCTCTCAATCCTGTTTTATGGAGACGATCTTCATCAATTGGAATATATCCAGCTTTGAAGTTGCTATTGTGCTCTTTATTAATATTCCTCCTTTCAACAGCCTTCTCACGCATGGACTTCTTTACAGGGCCATTGGAACTTTGCTAAAAATGAAATAGAACACAGTGAAATAGCTCTACTCTTTTTTATGTCTTTATTAAATGTAAAATTATAACTAAAGAAAGCTGTTAGGTATAGACCTAAACTGTCCCCAAAAGTGAGTGTTCAGAGGTAGTGGTTTTGGAAGGAGGATCATGGGGGTGCTATACTCCACTGATGAGTTCATAGCTGAATGTAGTTAGAAAAATTAAACTGGGTCTAGTTGCAAGAAGTGGGTTGCTTAAGAGAATGACTTGAAAGGATCCATTTTTATCCCTGGCTTCTTCCTGTCTCTGCTTCCTGCCTGTCATTGGTTGAACAGTTTCCTCCTGCAAACTCTTCCACCCTTGCATTTCTGCTTTGGAGCCAGATAACCATGGACTGCACGCTCTAAAACTGTGAGTTAAATAAACCTCTTCTTTAATTTGTGGATATTAAGTATTTTATCCCAGCAGTGGGAAGGCAGACAAACAAAAAAGATGAATTGATTATTAATAAATATTCCATTAATCAACTGAGTTACACGTTCCAAGTAAAGGCATTATTGTACTTAGAGGAAATGTGTAGTAGAACTTTCAGTGTGACTCTTTGATATATATTTTCCTCTCTGTTTTCAACAGTCTGACTGTCAATAAGGTATAAAGAGGTGTCATATATATTCTACAGTGGGTAATCTTGTTCTTATTAGCAACTTATTAATTTATACATACTCATTTATATGAAATGAATTTAGAACAGTTCACACAGTCTGCTAGTTATAATTCCATTGACTAAAATTAACATTATTCTACACCAGCAATTTCTAAAGGGTAGACTAATTTGTGTGTGTGTGTGTGTGTGTGTGTGTGTGTGTGTGTGTGTGTGGGCATAGAATGTCAGACATATTTTAAAGATAACACTAAGATGTTATTTTCTTTTTACTCTTCTACTTTCTTGAATGGGCAATGGGCTGGGTTTTTAGCTCAGTGGTGCTGCCACCTGCCTCTGAAGCACAAGGTCCTGTGTTCAATCCCTGGCACCAAAAAAACAAAACAAAAAACTTCGAATGGGCAATGAAATTTTCCAAATGTTACACAGATGTGAGCGCTCTAAGAGCTAACCAAGTGCTTGTTTGGATATTCCTGTGTTTTCAAACTTTCTGTTTTAATTTCTAATATGATAAATATCAGTGGTTATAACCCATAAAAAATAAAAGTTCTTTGGGATCCTCAGTAGTTTTTAAGAGTGTAAAGGAAACCTGAGACCAAAAAATTTGAGAACTTCTGCCTTAAATTATGGTTGAATGACATATTATGAAATAATCTTATATAACACAGGCACAAAAGGAATGCATACTGCCCAGTCTACAGTTTTCAGAGGTCTGTGAAGACTCATTCATTGAAGGTATATATTAAGCACTTTATGCTGAACATTCAAGAAATAGAAACACAAAAGACACAGAGTTCAGGATCATTATCATTTAGGTAGAGCACGTCTCTGACTTACAACCAAATTCTGTTCCAGGAGAACAGATTCATTCTTAAGTCCAAAAAGAGTGAGTCTTATACACATTTGACACAAATAAACAATATGAAGCATAAGAAACCCAAACACATACACGAAAATACTGTAAATAAACTATTTTTACTTTTACAATTACCTTAAAATGGTAAGGTAGACATGTATGCTACTTCACAATTTGTTTGTATTACCAAATGTTTGTAATGCAAGGTCTGTTTGTATCTGTGAAAGTTCGCAACTTGGATTTTTGTAAGTCAGGGACTTACTATACTATAAGGCTGATTTGTATACATGAGATAGGTAACAATACAGTAAAGTACTCTGTATGTTCAGGTGCCAAAATCATTAACATAGGTAATTTATACTGCAGAATTGAGAAAGAAAAGAGTCAGGATGACCTGGAGTTTTTAGGGAACCGGGGAAGAGTAGATGGGGTGTCTTCATTACTTTTCTCTCATGGTGGAGTCAAAATACCTGATGCCCAAAGTTAAAGGGGGAAAGGTTTATTTATCTTACATTTGTAGAGATTTCAGTCCATAATCAACTGGCTCCAAGGCAGGGTGGCATATGGCAGAGGGTCAACAGCAAAGACAGCAAGAGAGTTTAAAAGCATCTTTCTGCCCCTTTTATCTTATTCAGATTACCAGGGCTGGGGTGGGAGGGGGTAACCAAACCAATCACTCATGTGTAGTGGTTTAGTAATCACACTCCCTTAATGCCAGCATCACACATTCCAGATTCAGCCACCTCTGAAAAAGAAAGTCCCACCTCATCTGCATGAGGCTTTGGCGGGACATCTAAACACAAGCCATAGCTGTGGGTCAGATATGACAATGCTGGAAGACTAAAGTTGGAAATTAAGGCACGGCTGAAAAGGTCTATGGACAATAGAGTACAGACTTTAGTCTTTATGTTTGGTTTACCTGGGAGTCATGGAGGGTTTTTCTGAGCGTGGATGACATATATTGCAGGACATTAAACTGGCATTTTTAAGAGAGACACGACAGAGAAATACCAGTAAGGAGGATGTTGGGGATGTTGTAACAATGGAAACTTGAGGTAATGAGAGTCTAAACTAAAAGGATAAATTTACTTTAGACTCAACTAAATTTGTAGCAAGGTTAAGATACACATTTATTGAATGGTGATTAGTTAAGGAAGAATGATGGCAGAAAAGCTTACACATTTACATTTGATTTGAATGAAATAGCACAAGCTTCAAAGGCTACTGAAGGTTTGAGATTGGATATTAGATCACTCATGACTAGCCACAAGAATTGTAGAGTCCTCCGCAGTCTAGAGGTAAATTAAAACTATGAGACCATAACAGTTCACTGTGGAAAATAATATAGAAGGAAGCAAAGGGTTAAGAATATAATGTAGTCTTGGAAAACTTTAAATGCTGGAAAACTAGAAATATGATGAATGGTAAGAAAACTAGACATGGGTGATATTGTTGAACTTGATTTTCTTTTTCTTTCTTTCCTTTTTTGTGGGCGGGTATTGGGGATTGAACTTGGGACCTTGCAATTACAAGGCAGGTAGTGGAACCATCGAGCTAAATCCCAGGCCCCTGAACTTGATTTTCAAGATGAGCCTTTATGACCTTCAAAAATGAATTTTGAGTAGCAAATTGGTTAGATGAATAGCCAATATCAAAAAGATGTCAATATGTATGCATCCATTTTCATGTTCAAAAGAATAAAAGAGGTTAAACAGAAAACTATAGCTAAAGAGTTACAAACTGTCAGAGGAAAACTATGTTTCCTCCCTTACCCTAACTCAAAGAAAGATTTGTATATTGATAGCAGCCAAAAGGGAAAAAGTCAAGGGGGATGGCTACAATTTGGGTCTTAAGTGTTCCCCCAAAGATCCATAAAGGCTTAATTCTCAAAGGGTCACTACTGGGAGACAGTGAAACTTTTAAGAGGTGTGATTTAGTGGGTGCCTTTCCATGATTGAGGGTGGGGTCCTAAAGGGGTAGTAGGACCGCCAACCTTTTCCTACCTCACCATAAGCAAGCAGATTTCACTCATGTACTCCTGCCTTGATGTGCTGCCTCTCACAGGCTTAAAAGCAACAGGGTCAATACACCATGGAATGGAACCTCTGAAACTGTAAGCCAATATAAACTTTCTGTATAAATTGACTATTCACATATTTGGTATAGAAACAGCAAGTTGACTAAAACAGGGGTAAAGACCAAAGATCTCAGCACAGAACAGCACAGTATGGAAAACAAAAACTTTCAAGGATACAGCAAATAAAACAATACAGAACACTGGAGAAAAAGACAACCTTAAAGGGTAGGGTTCCTTTTTTATCTGAAGCTTGATGGAAAGGTTCTCCTCAAGAAGAGAAAACATTCTTCTTCCTAGGGATTTAAGAGTCAAGGCCTCTTAAATAAGAGCAGAGAAGGGCACTAGAATCTTAATGTGGCGGTAGGGGTAGCAGACTGACTGAAGCTTATGGAAAATGGAATTTTCATTTTGAGAAATGTGGGGGATAAAAATTTAAAAATTCCACAAAGTGGTAATGTAGAAAGTAACACCATCTACTCAAATTGCCGAGTACAGTTGTGTAGGCTGTGTACTGCATGAGGCTGCAACATTTGAGAAGGTATATGGCACTGCAGACATTTTAGAGTTGAATATGCATTTATATTGCTTTTCAGCCAAAGGCAGTAAAAGACCTCAGGAAAAGGATGCTATCTTCTAATCTGCATAAACACAGTATGAGATTGTGACAGCTTTAATAAATGGTCAATTTAAAAGTCTTATAGGCACATAAAAGAGACAGGGGCAAAAAATTCATCCCTCCTTACTTTTCCCTGTCAATTCATGTAAATTACCATTGTCAAGTTGATGCATTTAACATTTACTGAGTAGTTACCATATGCTAAATTCTCTGAGTGATAACAAAGACACAGGGTCATCCTTAGAAGGGATTACTTATCGGCCATCAGAGCAGACAGGATCACTAACAACTGCAGTACAACATCTAATAGCTGTAGTACAGCAGCACACATAATACTAAAAGGTGCAGGAGAGAAATGCAGTCTCACTTAAGATTGGGGGGCCTTCAGTGAAGTTTCCAAGAAAAGCTGAGGTTTGAGCCGAGTCCTCAAAGATGGAAAGGAGTCAGTCAAGGAAAAGAGCAGAGAATGGCATTGTAGGTAGAGGGAACAGCATGGAAACGGTGAGTGCAAGGCACTTCTCCAGGGAAAACTTTGGTAGCTAATATGGTTTACACCTGATGTCCCCCCAATGTGTCATGCACTCACAGGCAGGGCTTTGGGAAGGAGAATGGCTTAGGGGAGTTTATAGCTAACTAGCTGCTAGGAGGTGGGGTCTGATCAGAGGAGGAAGGTCACTGGAGATGTGGCCTGGAAGGGTTTCTCTCCTCAGCTACTCCTTTCAGTCTCTCCTTTTCACCCCTGTGCCATGAGTAGCTGTCTTCTGCTATGCCTCTCTGCCATGACATCCTGCCTTTGTGCCAAATGACCATGGACTATAAACATGAGCCAAAATGAAACCTTTCCTCCTTTAAGTTGCAGGCGTTGGATTTTGTGTCTCAGCAACAAGAAAAGTGACTAAGACAGTAACTTTGTATGGATGGAGAGAATAGGTACAAGGATGAGGAAAAAATGAGTGAGAGGTATGGTTAGAGGGCTAGTAAATGACACAGGGACCATCACAAAAACTATACATTTTATTCTGAAGCCAGTGGGGAACTACTAATGATTTGAAAGAGGTTAATACTACAACTTAGGTGTGTACTGTAGCAAAACCACACCAAAAATGAGATGAAGCTATCAACAGAAGGTTCCTCTAAAAGTTAAGTGAGTACCTCCTTCCCAAGCTTTGGCTTTTCCGGTAAAGACTGGGGATAAGCTTTAAGAAGTACTATCAGGAATCAGGCAACTGGCTGATAGTGTGACACGGAGGGGTCTAAAATGACTCCCAAGCAGCTCAGCTACATTAATTTGTGGGATCCAGAGCAAAAAACCAAATGTTGGACTCTTTGTTTAAATACCAAGTTAAGGACAGCAGATCACATGTGGGTTTCTTCTGAGCCACCTTAAACTGACCTTGTGGCTGTTTCTTGTTGACCGAGTGAATGGATGGTTGTCGCCCTTTTAGTAGTGAATATGATGCAGTCCAGTTCTGAACATCTTTGACTTTGAGTCCAGTTAAGTTCAAGGCTGGAGACATAAATGCATAAATTTGAAGTGGAGGCTAAGGAATGGATCTCACTGCTCAGCTGCTGGGAAGGAAGAGCAGAAGCTCAAGAACCCCAAAAGCATCAGCAGGTATAATACAGATAGAAAAAGAATCATCTCACACAGAAGCTGATGAATTCGGAAGGCAATCATGGAAGCCAAGGAACAATTTAAACTCAGTAATTTCAACTTTGCTCTTTTCAGTTTCATTTATTCCTTTACATTTTACTCTTGGGAATATACAGGTGCCTACTATCTTTAGCTGATTTTTCGGCATTTATTTGACAGTTTTAATTTCCCTGAAGACAGATTTCATGTTTTTTTTTTCTGTCCCTTAGAATAACTCCTTCAAGAATATATGCCTAAAATATTTAAAAAGTTAATCACCTACGAAAAGCTTTCTAAAGGTAAAACAATGTGGGCAGTTTGGCTCATTCTTTTCAATAATGTTGAAATAAATAATGTTTTTTTTTTTTAAGAGAAGCTATCATACCAGTTATTTTTGAAGGGAAACAACAGTTATGAAGAAATGTAAAAATTCTTTTTATTATCATAAACCACCCTAGCAACTTCTACACAAATTGACACACACACATCTCTACATATATAGGTATGTGTAAATGTTTTTATATTGATGCCTAAATCTCCAGAAACCAAAGTTGGAGGGGAAGCCTGGGATGGTGACAAACTATCTGGGGTTAGCAGAAACAAGCCCTGGCCACAACCCCACCCCCAGGCGACAGCTGACCATTTCTCTGCTGGTGTCAGGGGAGCCTCCCGCAAGGGCTGAGGTTATTTTTATCTGCATCTTTGCCGGCGGCCGAGCAGGGCAGGTCCTGGCGGAGGCTCAGGACTGGCGCTGTTTCGTAGCGGGCCCGCAGGGCGATGACCCCTCTTCACTCCCGCCGAGGGGCAGACCAGGCCTGGCCGAGAGCTG